CCTAATGAATGTGCTGGCCTCCCCAGTTTCTAGCCCTTTACCCATTGAAATGTTATAACACAACAGGGGACTGAAAAAAAGAGCCACGATATGTTCCCGGCAGTCACTGGGACTGAGTGGACAGAAACAAACGGTGGCAGACCGATGAAGGTCTGTCGTAGAATGGCTGTGTCTGTTACTGAAGGGGCTCAAGCTGGTCTGCAAACAGTCTGTGCTAAAGCACCAGTGCAGCATCCCTGTTGAATTTGCATCTAGGTGATTAATGGTTTTGTCAAAATCTGTAGGTTCTGTCTTCCGTTCAAAGTTAAATTCTAGCAAGATTTCAATGTGGACCTACGGTTACCTCCATCAGTTTGTGTGCATATGTGCACTGTATATAAATGCAGAGAAGAGTGTAATGTGTCATTTGCAATGTTATCTCTATATTCTGCTTGAGGTTTTGTTGGTTTTACCTTCCTATCTTTGTAGCAGCTGCAGACAGAAATTGTTAGTGGGTAGGCATGTGTTTTAAATACCCCCCATTGACACTGAGAGCCTCGTGTCACAGCAAAGACGCTAATAAGAAGCTAAAGCCCTTGCATTATTAATTGCACCCCGGTCTTTCCTGCCTCCGCGGTGATAGCACTGCAGAAAGCCTAGGTGGTGTCATTAAGAATTACTTCAGTGCAGCATCTTTCCACTGCTGACAACAGGGCTAATCTGGCCGCAGTTAATGTGCGCGTGGGGCGAGGGGTCTGTCTGTGTGTGCCTGTGTGAGAAAGGAGTAGGAGGAGGTGATGGATGTCTGTGCTTCTGCCTGAGTGCCAGTGTGTGCTGGGGACCGGCACATCTGCTTATGTCGTTGCACTCCTGACTGTGTCTTTGTTGGATAAGACAGTCTGTCTGTTTGTGCGTCTGTGTGTTTATGAAGGATCGCTGCAGTATGCGAGGGGCCTGGGTTCTGGGCTGTGTGACTGGAGTGAGGCTCTGTGCACAACAAATAAGAGAGAGACAGGGGCTGGGGGAGGAGGAGGGGGGCGAGGTGTTCTTTGGGGGTGTTTTCTGATCATTAGCAGGGTTTACTGAGTAGAGGGTGCGGGAGAGGGCGAGGAGGCCGTGAGCCCCTGGGTGTGATCGTGCCAGTTGTGGGGGGTTGCAGTGCAGATCCAGAGGGTGAAGAGGTGTGAAGGTGTGTGATGAGAAGTGGAGGAGGTATTTTATTTTGGGGGTTGGATTGCTGGAAAGTGTGTTTGCACATGGGAGTCAGCCAAGAACGCTGGAGCTACATGCCATTCAGGATTTAGCATTTTCCTTGGCTAAGCTGAAGACAGTTCCTTGTGGCCATCTCCCACAAGCAACCAAATTAATCCATCAAAACAATAATTTCCTAGGTAGTAGGTGGACACTATTTTTGGTAGTGAATTAAAAAGCTAAGGGGCTCAGTGCTCTTTCTGTAGCATGCAATGTGATGCACATAATCTTGGGTTTTCACAGAAATACTTATGACAGATACAGGGAGGAATGTGTGATAAAATTGTTAAACATTCTGACAATTGTGCATGTTTATATATTTTGTTAAAAATAGAGTGGTCATGTATGAAATATGAAATATCTGAAATAATATGAAATGAAAATACAGCATATTTAAAAAATACAATAGATGGAAGTTTTGTTTGTGGAGCAGATCACTGCAGTGGGCTGTAAAAGTATTCACACCTGTTTCTAGATGACATGAGCCCATAATAATAAAACACAGGGAGCCTGAGACCACTGCTTTAAAGTCGGTACTTGGACATCCGTCCATCTTCAAACCACTTTATACAGGTCTGAGGGGGAGTCAGAGCCCATCTCAGCAAACAGCTGGCGCAAGGTGGGACACACCCTGGACAGGAGGCAAATCCATTTCAGGGCCAACAGACAGATACACACACTCACACCAGGGCCAGATTTCCCAGAACCCAATTAAGCTACCAGTATGTCTCTGGACTATGGGAGGAAACTGGAGCACCTGGTGGCAACCCACACAAACACGGATACAGATGTACAAACATCACTTAGACAGCATCCCAGCAACTGAAGCAAGGACTGCGGTGCTGTGAGACCGCCAGTCTAACCACTGCACCACTGTGCCCCTGTACTCTGACATGTGCTTTGCAAATAATTAAAAAGAGGTCATGTCAGTATATATATATACACTATCTTGTTTATGAAATTAAATGAAAAGTGATTGTATCTTAAAGTTTTGTCATAAAGGTACAACACAAGCAGATTTGTTTCATTGCAATAAAGGTATATTCCACTAAAGCAGGACTCAAGGACTCAAGGAGTCCCGTGATCCTGCAACAGCTGCTGCTGTTGCTACTTCAGTCTCCTGCACTCGGCTCATGCCCTTCCCTGCCTCATTAAAACACACAAAGACGGCACTAGCCAGGAGAGTGTTGAATAACGTTCGTGATTAATGGAGTACGCCTGGTAAATTACTTGGCATTTAATGTCTCATTGAGGGTGTTTTGGTGGGCAAAAATTTCAACAGGTGACCTAAGCAAACAAAACAATGATTCAGCCAGCGCGCTCTTTCGTGCCTATTACACAAACCCCAAAACACTCGACTGCTCTCAAGACACGTTTACGTTCTACTGACTGCATGCATCATCACACCATGTGCAGCCGGCAAGGTACTCATCTCGTAACTGATAAACAACAACATGAAGGGAATGCTCCCTCGCTCTTCTCTTTCATTTGGCACCTTTTTCTCTAGCGTACTCCGGCTTCTCTGACTGACAGTAGCAGTGGTTGCTACCCTCACCCCCTGCCAGGACTGGCTGGCTACTGGTCAGGCGCCCCAGGTATTGATGAGTCATTTGTAAAGCCTGGGTATCTCAAAGAGCAAGATTAAATGCCAAATAATGCAGTATAACATTTAATGGTAGTGTAGGTGAAGCCATGTGACATGTGAGAAGTACAGCTCTAAAAAATAACTAATTGCATTAATTTTTCTAACCAAAATCATATTATTTACTATTCTACAGTATACACAGTAGTTCTGTTATGGGAGTTTTAAATTAGAAGTCAAACTGTTTACATTGACTGTTTTTTAGACAGACCAGTGAAAAGGGCTGGTGCTTGGCCACAGCCGTCCTGTACTAGATACCACGTGTGTGTGATTGTTTCCTCCTGCATGCTGGGGGAGATCCTTTTCAATTCTTACCTTTGAAGCTGTGCTGGCTGTGGCAGAGCAGGTGTTTGTCTTTAATGCAGTGCCACAGTAAACGAAAAGACCCTGTGAGAGGTTACTGAGGAAACTCAGCCCTGCTGCAGTCACTGACCTGTGCCCTTTAGGCTTCAGACCAAAGCCAAGGATTTTCTCTAATGTAAACTATACTCACTGCTCAACATTATTGTGAACGTCCATGACTTCAGTACTTGGCCCAAATATCTGTAATATTTTCAGACGCCTTACCCAGTCTAGTCTGTGTGTTGTTGATGTCCATTTACATTTTGCAGTACCTGTGTTAAATGCCTTCATACATTTTTTTTCATGTTCTTATCTCCTCAGGAGTTCCTGCCTGGTGTGTTCAGCATGGGTCTGCATAATGAATCAGGCCTGAGTCTTTGCAATCTCCCCTCAAGCCTCGCAGATGTGCGCTTAGCTTCTTTTTTTTTTACAAAAGTCATTTGTGCTGCTTTTATGTCTTACTGTGCATCACCCGCTCTGCTGTGTTAGCTCTGCTGTCACCTGGGCATGGCTATGCCTCCCAGCTGACAGTAGGAAATAGAGAGATTTCTTATTTAATTTTCCGATTTATTCCAACTTCTGTCCAGGAATGCGCAACTTCAACCAGATGCTTGGGCTCAGTATTAAGCCAAGGAGCGTCTTGCTGCCAGTTTCCAATGGTTAGTGTCGGCACTCAGTCCCGAGAAGAATTACCTCCCTTTCCCACAGAACAGAAACTGATCCACTCCCAGGAATGTATGAGCTCATCAGCCCAGCAGTGGGAAAAGACGCCCACGGAGCAGAGAGGTCTCAAAGCAGCGCGAACCCTGAAGTGTTTCAGGTGCCCCGAGTGAAAATAACCTGTCCCAGCACGTGACACAGAGCGGACCACCAGGGAGCAGCTAGCAGAAAGGGAGGTGGAGTGGCTTCGCTTGATAAGCACCACGAAGAAGGATGGAACGGAGTGAGGTAACGGAACTGACTCCTAAAAGGATTTGACCCCCGACCGCGCCGGTGTGAGAAGTGGGCTGGCCTGGGAACCCTTATCACGAAAGGCCAGACTTTCGGCTCCGGCACTGTGGCTTTTCCACCCTGGACAAGCTGAGTAGGAGCTTCTTTTCCTCATCAGTTCCTTCCTGCTGAGGAAACTCGCTTTATTTTTGTAGCTGTTTCCCTCCTGGATCTTCTCAAAATGGCAGGTTTTCTGAGCACTGTTTGGACGTCTGTGATCAATCCTGTGAAGTGCAAAAAGGAACAACCCAAACAAAACATTTAGACTTTTCAGTCACCATTATTCTAACATAAAAATAGTGGACTTGGCCATCCATTTTTTGGGGGTTATGTTCAGAAATACAATCAGGGTTACTGATTAAATAATTAGTATACAATAGCAACTTATTGCCACCTTTATTAGAGATAAAAACCTGGTACAGTTACATTACACAACTACACAGGCAAATCACAAACTACCTCCCACACACTGACATGAATAAAGAATCAAATAAATTGTTCAATTAATAAACCGCGTACTTCGGATTGTGCTGAGAAGGTTGGATCTTTTAAAATGTCCCTGTAGGAGTGGTTCAGGCTCATTTAATTCCCTGCACTGATCTGGGTTATGAGTGTTTACCTTTTAAGAACAGGGCACTTTTGTTTACAAATTCAGCTCGTCAAGTCAAAACATCTAAGGATTTGCTGCCTTTTAAAGGAATTTCATTTCCATTTCTCGCAGTAAGCAATGTTTTAATTGCAAAGCGAGCCACAAGCGACTTCAAAAAGTACAGTTTAAGTGGCTCAGAGGATGTTTTGTTCTTTGAAGCACAGCCTCTTCCCCTCATTATGGGGTTACACTCCTCCCCCCATCGCAGGGCTCTGGTGTCCATGTGTGAGGCAGATAGGCAGGGACAGGCTGTGCGAGAGAGGGTTAACACCATTCAGAAACTCAGGAATTCTCCACTGTTAGATGGGACTGAAATATTGGTGAAGAAGCAGATTTGCAGAAATACAGTGTTTTCAGCCAAAGAGAAAAAAGTAATAAGGATATTATGGGACATCTCCTTTAAATTTTTTATGATCCAGGCAAAACCTTGAGAATTCTATCTGGGCCTCTTCTTGTGTTGGATGATCAGACTTTTGGAGATGATTCAGAAGGAATCATTAGCAGGGACACCGAGATTTTTTTCCGAAACGAAAGACTGTGAAACACTCTGCCTGTGCTCAAGCCTTCAAGTGGAAGACTGAAGACTTGCAGGATGTAAGAGCAGTAATGAGATCCAGACCCAAGCTGGTGTGTGATTCTGAAAGTGGGGCAGGGTACCTCTGCGTGTCCAGGGTACATTGCCGCTGCTGCTGCAAGCACAAAACATGCTCACTCCCCTGGAGGGAAGAGCTGCACACAGGAGCACTGGGCTTGCTTTCTGCACACAGATCCTGCAAGGAGTCTGTCTCTTGAAAACAGGGGTATGTATCACATTTATAGAACTAAGACAGTCAAGGCAAGGGGCTATAGCAGTGATAGGAAAAATCCACTCAATGCAAAAAAATATTAAAAATAAGAAATTATCCTCTTATTTGCAAATGTATTCTCAAAATGACTCTTCAATTTCAATTAACACTTTATTTCAAAGTGTTTTGGTTTCAGTTTATGCCTATAATGTAAATTATATAATATGTCATGTTTTCGTAAAATTATATATTACTGAGTCTATTACTGAATACTACAGTATACATACATATATACATATTGCAAATGTTTTTTTACCTCTTTGGATTATGTGCTCTGTAAAACATCTTGTCAGCATTAAGCACATAAACAGGAACAAACCAGAGATCGGGCTTTATGATGTAAAACAAGGTAGTTGTGTTATATTATACAATATAATATAAATAATTGTTCAGCATGCAGCCTGTAGAGCTCATAATCAAATATTTGGGTTCAAATAAAAGTCCTGAAACACATCTGGTGAAAAGATTGAACTGCACATTTCCAAATTCGGGCTGGTGGACTCTTGATTTTAGATTCTACTCTTAATAAAAACTACATAATAGTACAGCGTACGGCTTTGCGGCTTTAAATTCCCTATGAGCTTTCTATCTGCTTTTGCTTATTTTGTTTACAGCATTGCTCTTTCTCCTTTCCTGCAGGACACAAATGACACCGCTGACACTCTGGATGACTGTGTGCTGTGTGTGAAGACAGGGGATAATCAACACTTGATGAGCTGCATACAACAGCCCACAACTACATGTCTTATTGTGATCATTCAAAGTAATCACAGCATTTTTTAGTGCCTTAGTGCCTTTTAGATTTCAGCTCCTCATAATTGGGGGGAGGCATTCAGGGCATCTTTATTACCCAGCACCCTTTGAATCAAGTGTAGCTTCTGGTATGTAAGGAGAGGCTCTGGAATAAAAACCTTTGCATGTGTTGCTCATGATTCCATCATGCAGTCTGTATGCTATCAGATGCTGCAGATGTTGTTCTTCACGTGTCCATCTAATTTCTAAACAAAGTATCATTCTGAAAAGTAAATAAATCTATGTTTAAGAAAATAACAACAATGTATGTTTTAGTTTCAGGAATATTGACCATTCTGAGCTACTGTGTGGAAGCTGACTTACCAAGAGTGCAAAGATCCCGCGATCCCAGAATTAAAACCCCAGCCTCCTAGAGGAAGCTAGAACATTAGCCCATAGGAAAAGGGGGTCAGACCCCCTTGCAAGGCATTAAGACATCGTGACTCCATTGTCCAATCACACTGCACCACCCCTGTTGCCAGCAGACACTTCCTTGCTGACAGTATTGCCACACCACAGACAAAACACACCAGGGTCCTGATCCACTGCAAGGCATAACACAATAAAATATGATTTTTCTTTCCAAATACTGAGTATTAAACACTTAGCGCTAGAATCTGTGTATATGTGGTATACTTCCTTATACAATATTCACAGTAATACATCTATTTACCATGATGTGAAATGTACACAAGGAACATTCAAACCTTTGCAGCACAGGTGGATTATGGAACAAGTAAAGGTTTATTCCATGCTGAAAATAAAAGAAAAGAGACACAACGTGTCAGCTGTGGAGTGCCTCTTTTCTTTTCAGCACGGAATAAACCTATACTTGTTCCTCTGCAGCCTACGCATGCTGACACAGCTCCCTACTTGAACAGGTGGATCATGCTTCTTCAACAGAAGTTGCTTCTGTACCATCCAGAGCTGTGTCCAAGGGTCAGATGAATTTGGAGTAGTCTGTAATCAGTGCTCTCCGTGTTTGAACTCCTTCTCCTGTCACACTGCTGTGGAATAGTGGGATGCAGAGTGCCCTAGCTTGGAGAATTCACATCTATGGATTGGCTCTGTAGGGCATAGATCTGTGATGAACTCACACCATTAAGAGCTTTGAAAGGTCTGTCATTCAATGAACTTGGAAAAAAGAGCATTCTCCAAGAGATGGTGCCATGTGGACATGAAGGTAGACAGGGGTATTTTTGCAGCAGTCAATAATGAAAATAAACTGTATGATACAGTATGTGTTCTATGTGCAGCACAGCCCTTGTATTGGAATGATGCACTGTATACACCCAGACATTCGGGAATCTAGATTCTGTGCCTGGTGACTCAGTGTCAATCTTTAATATGTAATATGAGTGCTTTTTAAATATTATGTCCTAGTTGAAAATTGTGCTTTGCAGGCAGGTAAAAGACATAACGCAAAACCTTTAACACAACACGAACCCATCAACAAATAAGAAACATACATGTATGAAGAGAAAGAACAACAAAAACATATAAAGTAACATATGGAATCGATTGTCCAAACTATGCAGGTAAATAGCTGTGGGAACAAAGGATAACCTGGGTCTATTGCACTTGAACAGGGGTCGTCTAAATCAACTCCTGATGGAAGGAGTTCAAATTCGCTCTGGTGAATGGTCATGACACTCAATGATCATATTCTAACAGAGCAGTACAAGCTATGCAATTTAAATAACCAAAAAAGGTTGCACTTAACACTTCAGGTTTTAATTTATTGAGTAAAAATGTAGTAAAGAAAAGCCTTTCTAAATTAAATTTGACAGGAGAGACTGTGAAAGAATACATCAGTCCAGAAGCATAGACGCACAGAAAACATCGCTAAAGCATTGATGTAATAGAATCATTACAAATCTAAGCCTGTGCATTCAATGACATCAGATGATACAGGTGAAGTATTAAAAAAGCATTTGTCATGCTGGGTTCACATTATTAGGAAGCAAAAACTCATGCACAGAAAGACTGAGGGCAAGGATTATATTGCTTCTTCTTTACTGCAATCTTGGGTAACATATCTTTGAAGTCCTGAAAAAGTAATTATGTTTCTGCTCTTTCTGCATTCTTATCTGAGCGCGCATTATTTCAGTGAAATGTATATATTTTAAATTTGTGAGTATCCTAACCAGATTTTGCTGATATCTCATGACCTCCCAGTTGAGTAGCTTTCTGAAAAAGCGCATGAGAATTTCATTACAACTGAATGTAGTTTCTTTCTTAAAAAAGGGTTGAGCATCTGGTTGTGAAAGAAATGTGCAGGGCAGCAGTGCTTTTCCATACCACTGACTTTTCCCAAAAATATTTTCTCCCCCAAAACAAATAATTAACCTAGCTAATAATTAAGCTTAATGGACAGAAAACATAAGTAAATATTAAGGGTTAAATGTTGACAGGTGCTGGAAAAGCAGGCTCATAACAAAACAAACGGACTATATAAAGAAAATGGCTGAGAATGTCAGAACCCTCCCTCAATTGCTACAGAGCGGCTTAAGTACTTTGCTCTGATTGGCTCATTGATCAGCATGAGAATGCAGAGACCTTGTCTTGATTGGTCATGCAATCATTCAGCGGGCCACTCAGCGCGTACCCCTAATTGTGAAAGCCCAAGGATCCTGCTCTCTCGTAGACCAGCTGGGCTCTTAAGCCATTGTTTGTATTTGTGTTTTTTCAAAGTTGTAAAACCTTGGGATGGTTTCCTTTGCTTTTGTCAACTGTGTATTTGAACACACATTACCCCTTATATTTTCATTTAATATACCAGTTACCCTTGCTGAAAACATGACACAATGCCCTAAAAGGCTATGCAGTCACAGTGCATTACAAGAAGAGAAGTCCAGCTGACTGCGTGTGCCTCTGTCTTGTACAGCTGCTTTAGGTCCTGTTTTCTTTGGCTCTTTGCTGGCCTCCTCAGAGCATTCTCTCCTGAAGGGTTCTCCTATTCCCACAGTTTTATTTAAAGACAGAGCTTACACTTCTGTATGGTTCTCGTGAGTGACCTCTGGTAGATTCATCGAGGGGCCTCGAGGAGTTTTGTTACCGATAGTCCTAAGACAATAAGATAATTAGTTGATTAGCTTTGGTAAGGACCTGGTAAGGTCTGAGGCTACCAGGAGCCCAGGGTGCAAGGTGGGTCTTCCGAGACACCAAACAATAATATTTTTAGAGATCTTTATCCCGTCTGCTGCTTTCTTCTGGCTTTGCAGCTTCGAGCGATAAATCTTCCTTGCATCCACGCCTCTGTGGGCTGCTGCTCCCCTGCGGAGACACACCGGGTCGGAGAGACCGGCATCCAGCCCAGTCCGTGAAGGAACCCGGGCTCGGTCTGCAGGAGAGCCGAGCTGCATCACAGCACAGCACATCGGCGGCCAGAGATCCCTTCACTTTCTCCTTCTGGAAATAATCAGCCATATTACAAGACATTAGAAACAATTATTAAACATTTTAAACTTTAGCTTGTAATTCAGCCACAGAAATATTTTATTGTTTGTATTGAATATGCTGTATATTGTCGAACCCTTTGTTTTAACTTTCTCGGCCAGTGAAAAAAAAATGCACCAATTCTAGTAAACAAGCTCTGTAATTATTATTATTCTGCAGCAAAGTCACTGTTGAAGTAAGAATCCATATCTCCCCAGGCTACTGGCTCATTGGCCAGTGTGATATATGATGTTTGTGAAAACAGGTAAATAATATTTTGTCACACTTTTGCTACATGAATGTTTTGCACTTGACTGGTAGGTGCGTCAGCAAAGCTCTTTATTGAGAAATCAATTGTCACATAGCAATCATGATTTTTAAAATCATATGCAGAGCCAGTCCCAGTGAGCAATGGCCTAGTTTCGTCAGTCAGGCTGACAGGAAAGACATTTAAATGGGCTGTAGTATCCTAGACAGCTGTATATCGCCAGGACTCCTCTGAAAACCTTTGTATAACCTGGTGCCTTTAATCCAGGTAACTGTCTCCCACATTGGATATTAAATATATAACAATACTACTTAATGGAATTTCATCTGGGCAGTAAAATCTGAAGCACAGGACTCACGCTACTCTCATAGTTACACCTCTACTGCCTCAGCCATTCATTAGCCTGCATTTCAACAGTAAATAATGGCCAGACATATTCATTTGCACCATTGTATGAATGAAATACTTTCTAATTGTTTCTTAAAACATGACAAATGGTAAAGGTTACTGGTCATCTTGCCTTGGATTAAGTTGGCAGTATGAAGTATGTTTGTCTGTACAGTACATGAAGACAGTCTTACACAATTTAATATGCGCCGTGTTAGGACGGACATTTTTTGTACAATTTCAGCCATGCGTTTGTTTCTCACAATATTTGTCCTGTCTTCACAGAATGTATGTATATGATATCAATGCCTGCGTTGTATCACATGACTGTTGAGCTTAGCAAAGGTCCTGCAGTATTTAGAGATGCAGTGGGTTAGTTTATTGTTCATGGGTGCGTTTTTGGATAGTGTGCAGCTGAATTAGGTAATTCAATTAGGTGAACCCCATTGAATCTTGTAACTTATAGCAATAACTGGACACCTTAGTGGCAATGAATTGACAGCTTAGTCAGTGACATTAACTTACATTGGTTTAAATAACCTGTGCATGTACTGTAGAGGGATGGGGCCATGTGGCAGGATCTCCCATTTCTTTGTCCTCCCAGGTGTGCACATAGGTGACGACACAATGCCTTTCATCGCAGGTGTGTGACAGGCGAAGCTCTTTCAGCTCCTGTTGCTTATTGGATAGCAGCTGCAGTTGAGTGGGAGTCTGGCATTTCAGCTCGGGTTCAGTCAGGTGTGTCTTAATTAGCTCTTTCCTATTGTGTTGCCTTTCCCCTCTCCTGTGCTGGCATTGCAGGACTTTTCTTTGGTGTTTGTGTAACCTGTCTGAGGTGCACTATTCTCATCTTACCTGCCAGATGTTGGAGATCGAGTGTGCGCGACCCTGTACAACTGCACTTCATTGAGAGTAACAGTTTTGGAGCTGTGACTCACTTGAGAGATAACACTGCATAATGTAACCTGGGTATTTTTACACTTACCCTCTTAAAACCTATGGGTTTAAGAGTTCTGGGGTCATGACAATTGTAAA